AAATGTCAAAACTGAAAAAGACCTTAGAGGTTCATCAGCTGGTTGGGCCTTCTTGATTCACAGATGAGACCCAGAAAGGATCAATGACCTATCCAAGGTCTCACAGATGGTCAGCAGCACTGGTGGAACAAGGTGTCAGTTGTCCAAACTCCCAGTTCAGTACTTGCTTCCTTCAAACATGCCCTAGGTTGTCACATCTCTCTGCTTTGGCTATGCTGGTCCTCGGGCTTAGTGACTCCCGCCTGATCATGTCCATTGTTTACATTCTTCCCAGTATTTGAGACCCATCTTAAACTCTTCCTCTTTCATGGAAACGTCTTGGAGCCTGCCTCTCTGTTATCATTGGTCCTGGCTTTGGTTCTGTTCTCTGGAAACCTTTGACCTCATGTCCACATCCTCATCAACTTCCAACTGGAGTATTAAAGGCTGACCTTAATCCTAGCAGATTGGATGGGGTCACCCAGCAAGACAAAGAAGATACATGGAGCAGGTAGCTTAGGGTAGGCCCTGGGGTTGCAAGGTTGATGTGTTAGCAGGGAAAACAGGGCAATAAGAGTGAGGTAGGCATGGGAGCTCCACTGAGTGTGGCCTGCGCTCCTTGACTGGTGGACAGAGATGAGACACTAAGGCCTCTGAACCTGAAGGCCTGTCTCCAATCAGTGGGGAAGTACCTGCAGTCACTGGCCAGCCCTTAGCCTGGGTATCCATGGTAACAGATGCCAAGAGGCCAGTGCCAGAGGGTTCCAGGGTATGGGTGGGCAGCCTGCTTCATGGTGAGATGCAGAATGAAGGATATCCTGGGTTCATCATGATTATCCAGTTGCTGTTAAGTGAACTCTGACTCATGACAACCCCGTGTGTGTCAGACAGAATTGTGTTCTATAGGGTTTTCAATGGCTGATATATAAAAAATTGTCAGGCCTGTCTCCCAAGAGTCCTCTAGGGAGATGCAAACTGCCAGCATTTTTTAGCAGTCAAGCTTGTTACCTGTTTGCAGCAATCAGGGACCCCTGCTCTAGATTTTATCCCCACTCTGGTCCTGGTACTTAAGAGACTGTGTGACTTAGAGCAAATTCCTTTACTTCTCTCGTGTTAGGTTCCCATTTTATATAAAAGAAATGATTCCAAGACTAAGACTCAATGAGAATACACATTCTGATTGGTGACCACATTCGTTACCAATAAGGGGAAGTGATGGAAAAACAGCAATGAAGCTGCGACCTAAGCCCTACAACGTTCAATAGACTCCTGTGAACCTGGGTGGAGACCTGGTTGGCCAGCAGTGTGGCAAGACCTGAGGACCCCGGGCCCAGAGTCAGTGACATATCCACAGAGGACTAGAGTGGAGAGTGAAGTGTCCAGCTGATAAGAAGAGAGGGCATATGCATAAGAACATCCACACTTGCAGCTAATACCCACTTGACCTGGCTTCAGTGACTGGATGATCAGAGCTCAACTAGAAGAAGAAGGAAGAAGAAAAAAAGAGTAATCTGATACAATTTGATGAACTTGACCTACACCCATGGATGCAGCAGTTCAAAAGAGAGAACAAATCTTTACAGCAAGGATCAGTCCCCACCCCCTCCATACACAGAGCAGACAGGGATGGACAACTTGGACATTGGCTACCCAAAATGGGGGTGGGGGGCAACTACAAAGAAGTGACTGCCTTACAAGCTTTCAAGAGGGAGCCTAGATCCAGAGGGCATGGAGGAAGGTTGAATCTCCAGTGAGTAGTATCCAACCTGTCTGGGCGGGGCTGATGACAGGAGATGCGGATGGGTCTCTTGTGATACAATAGTGAATAATTGTTATCAGGACTGATTGTGAGGGTTGGAAATGTAAAGGTAGACATTTTGTAGCAAAAGGAGGGGAGTGATTGACTGTTCAGTCTAGGAGCAGAGGTCCTTGGGACCATCAAAGGAGAAGAGTGGAGAGTGAGACCCTACCCAGAGAAGCAGTAACCCCAGAGATGGAGGCAGAGATGATGACGTGGAGAGATGGAGCAGCTGGGGACTTTAGACCCAGAGAGGGAGAGGGGCTGTGTGCTGATGACCGAGGGGCAGGCTTGCAGGGTATACCCTTTGGTTGGTTGATGATGCATGGAGTGGATTGTAACCATGGCAATGAAAGGATATAAGTTAGGATGAATGCAAAGCTAATGTTCTCCCATGTACACTATCACATAATTCACAATAAAACATTAAAAAAAAAATGTCACCACTGATGTTGTCAAAACTACCACCATCAGTGTCATTTGAGATAAAGGGCAGCTATTGAAAAGTATCAAGTGCCACAAAAGTGAAGAGGACAAAGACAATCTTATGTGGTTGGGGCTCAGTTTACCTGAAGTTCAACTGCCTTTTTCCCTAGACTGGAGTGAGGTAGCAGGAGAAGGGTAGGGTTCATTAACATTTATTGGGGGGTGACAGGAGGTGATCAGGGAAGTGAGAAGTAGTTTGAGCTGCTGTGGTTAGTCCTCACCCCCTAGTGCCAAGTTCAACACCCCCCAACTGGGGCTGTCTCACGCCTGCTCCTCCTAACAGTCCAGCTGGTGCAAACACACCCACAGAGCCCACCTGCAGACCTGCCACTTGTCACCACCTGCTTCTGCCCTCCCTGTCCCACCCCAGCCCACCCCTTTCCTGTTGAACAACACAAGGGTAAGCTCGGGATGAGCTGAGGACTGGGGAAGGTCAAAAGCTATACAGACCATGTGGACAGGCCGCCCAACTTTATTTGACCCCAGCAGCCTGTCCTAAAAAAAAAAAAAAGTCAAACGATCAACATATTATCTGTTGAGTATCATATATGCATATGTGCATAAGTTAAGAATTACATATATACCTGAACAAAAGAACCAAGACATTGGACTGGGGTGGGGAAGGGAAGTGCCCGTGTGCCTGTGTGCCTAGGAAGAGACTTCACTGATGTACCTCCTCGGACTCCTTCACACTAGGGACTTACTTCTACCTCTGTCTTCAGCTAATAAGACTTCCTAGGTGGTCCCATGTCTCATCAGCAAAACATGGATTAAAAGCAAGGACTCTGGGGGCCAGGCTAGCTGGGGATAAATTCCTTTGGGCTCCCCCACCAGCTGTGTTACTGACTGGGGCAAGTTGTTAACCTCTATGTGCCTCACTTTTCTCATTGAGAAATGGGGCTAGTGGCAATCCCCTCGAGGTGCGGCTGTACAGTCAGAAGCAAGTCTGTGGAAGGTGCTTAGAGCAGTGCCGACACAGCATGTGTGTGTGTGTGTGTGTGTGTGTGAGCTGCTATGTCTGCAATCAGATCAGCTTTCTCTCTGTCCAGCACTCCAAGCTCCTGCCTCAAGCCCTTTGTACTTTTTATTCCTGGTGTTGGAAATGTCCTTCTGCCAACTCCTTGGGTACCTGGTGACTCTCTTGTCAATCATTCCCTCAGAAAAACCTTCTCAGATCTCAGTAAATACCAGTCCCCTACATCTAGGATATTAACGTCTTTTACTTCCTTCAGGACACTTGACAGTATTTGAAATTATACTATTGGGTTTTGTGTTTCCTTTACACTGAGTTGAGGGGGTAGAATTCCTCTTGTTTACTCTGTATTGTTGTGCTGGACCTATGTTCAATAAATCTCAGCTAACTGGAACCAGACCTGGACTCATGCCCTTTATTCTCTGGGTGATCTAGAGGTCAACAGTTTATTTGTAGAGGGACAAGTCCCACATCAAGTTCATAGGGTGTAGAACACCATCCCAGCTCTTTATCTGCACATTGAAATGCTAAAGTGGTACAAGAAGCCGAAAGCCTGGTTGCTGACTGTCCCAGGCAGATGTTCAAAGGCCTCTTATAGCTGAGGGCCCATCCCTAACTTCCCATTGGCCCTAAAGGTTGGGGACACAGAAACAGGCAGTTAAAAGCCCAGTGGATGCTCTGCAAGTATAAGTCTGAGTGGGGGCCATCTGTAAATCTGCCTACTGCAGGGATTAAATCAGGGTCTCCCGAATTTGCCTCCGTAGGCCTGAGAGAGTCCAGGGGGCCAGAGTCATGCAGTAGACCCTCCACTCTATTGGCCTAAAGAACAAAAAGATATCAGTTTGATGACTAAGATACCCCAGACCCCAAGCCATGGTGTTTTAAATCACCTCACAAGCAAGCATGCAAAAGCTGGACAACGTATAAGGAAGAACAAAGAACTGATTCCTTTGAATTATGTTGTTGGCCAAGAATATTGAAAACTCCATGGAATTCCAGAATGAACAAATCTCTCTTGGAAGAAGTACAGTCAAAATGTTTCTTAGAAGATAAATTTCATCTCATGTGCTTTGATCAGGAGGGACCAGTCCCTGGAGAAGGACATCTTTGGTACAGTCAATGAAAAAGAAGAAGATCCTTAAGGAGATGGAATGACACAGTGACTTCAGTGGGCTCCAAAACATAGGATTGTGAGGATGGTATAGGACCATGTGGTGTTTTGTTCTGTAAAACACAGCCCTGGCTGAAGGGAGTATGGGTATGGAAAGACCCACACCAGCCCTAGGCCTGGCCCTGGTACACAGCTCAGCCTAAGACCTAAGCTGAAGTTGACAAGGGTCTGAGATGCTTAATTCTTTCTTCAAAGCTGGAGACTGTGATGCCAGAAGAGAGGGAAATAGAAGAGCAGGGTAGAGCATTACATATCTAGGGGCTGGCTCCCCTTCATGGGATGTGTGGGAAAGCAGCAGCTTCAGGCTTTGAGATGATGGTGAAGCCTGACAGGGTGAGTGTGCTGGTATGCTGCTGCCCTCTGCTGGGCATATGGGCTCACTGCAGAGGGCTAGAAACATGGCTCCAGGGAAAAGAAGAAACAAGGAGGTCTTGACAAAGCAACTTTATTGAAGTCTGGGTCCTTCTCTCCTGGTCCTGCTGGACTCAGGGATGGAGAAAGACTGAAGTGGAGGGAAACCCTGAGTTTGAAGCACATCCCGGAGAAGGCCCACCCTGCATGGTGGTGACTGCTGCCAGTCCATTCCTGGTGCCTCACTTCTTGTATACAGGCTTTTTAGCTCTGGGTGTAACTCTGACCTATGGGGAGAAGAGAGGCATCTAGTCTCCCCTCCCTGACCTGGCCACTTCCCCAAAGACTCCCACCACCCCTGAGGGCCAGCCCCTTTTCAATTAGTCATACCTTTGTCATAGGGCTCTTGTCTGGAACACTGGATCTGGAATAGGGGTGGGGTGTCAGGAAGCAGGATGTTGGGTAAGGATTAAGGAAGGATAGGGGTGGGAAACAGCTGAGTGTGGCATCCAGTATTCCAGGGCAGCTAGTGCCCGTGATGGAAAGACTGGTCCTGGACACTCAAGGAAGCATGGGGCTGCAACCCCAGGGGGCTGCAGAAGGCCCTGTACAAATCATCACCCATCTGGTATGATCAACACTGGCTTCTCTTTAATACCCAGCTACTATCTAATATTTATCATAAATATGAGGGGTTCCTTTGTGCTTTTGAAGCCCCACTCCCCATATATCTTTTTCTTAGTGACTCTAACTTCCCCCATAATTTGGATGGGACTCTTTGGAAGGTATTTCTAGAAGTGGAATTAGGTCAGAAGACAAGTACACTTTCATGCTTTTCAAAAAGGCTGTTATCAGCCTAGAATCCCCCCCCCCCAAGCCTTTGTACATGTATGTACACACACACATATGTACAGTCCCCCCCAATAGAATCATACTCTTTCTAGCATGACATACCTTAGCTAGAATGCGTTGGCTAATTAAATAGATGGAAATAGATACCTTACTGCCTCCTCTTCTTTTTCCATCTTTGTTTTCTAGGAACCAAAAAACAGGCATTATTTGGAGAGTTAGGGTGAGGTCCAGGGCCAAAACAGACTCCCAGGATCCACCAGATCCTCAGCTGAATCCCAGTAGGACTTGGCCTGCCACCTGACTTAGGAGGCCTGGCCCAGATTACTGCTGCCCAATCCTTGAGGCACCCCTGGAGGGTCGCCCAATCATTTAGGGCAGTCACATCCCTTTCCCCACCTTAGTAACATTCATTTGCTTCTGGGGTGCCGGCCTCTTGGCTTTTTTCAGAGGGGTTTCCTCCAGAGGCAGGGACACATCTTGATCATCATCATCGTCTTCATTATCATATTCTTCCTCTTCTTCCTCCTCTTCCTCCTCCTCCTCTTCCCAAGCTAGGTCTGAAGTGTCTATGATGGCATAGGAAAGGGAAGAAAGGCAGAACTTTAGAGCAGAATGGGTTATATCTAGTGCCTGTCCAACCTCTGTTGTGCTCCACATGTTGCCCTGGTGGGATCCTAGCTTGTGAGTTGAAAATTCTCATCTAGCCACTTCTAGTAAGAGACCTTCAAGACATCCTGACAAAGTAAAGGCTAAGGTGTGGAGGGGTACTGGGAAAGGGCTGGGGATAGGAGGGGGAGGAAAATGGAAACTGCTTCAGTGATGGGCAACTGCTCTGGTGGCGAGGAACCTAAAACAGGCAGCTATGGAACTTATAACTCATCCTGAGGGAAGTGAGATCTGCCAGGGACTTCTGGGCAGAAGAGTTCCTTGATTAAAGAGGCACAACTGCTATCCAGAGGAAAGAAGGAGATGGAAAATCAGATAGATGAAAACCATTAGTCCAATGGACTAATGGACCACCATGTGAACATCAGGTTACCACTACCAACTTCTCTGAAAGGGATCATATTTGAAGTTCCTTGATGAGGTGGGAACAAAACTCGAAATCATCAAAAAAAAAAAAAAAAAGACCAGGCTCCCCTGAGATTATAGCCCTTAGGAATTCTTTAGGAACTGACATCACCCCCGTCTCAACTTTCAGTCAAGCAATAGGAAACAATAACACTAGTGAGGTACGCACACCTTAGAATAATCAACCATTTGAGATAAAAATGACAGTATTTATCCAAGAACAGTTCAGAAGGGTTAGGAAAGGAGGAGGAATGGAAACAAGAAACAGAGGGAGTAAGTGGGATAAGAAATATTTCACTGTGGGGATTGCAGTCAATGAGATGAAACTAAATGTATATGATTTGTTGAATGGGAAACTGATCTGCCCTGTAAACCTTCAACCAATTCACAATAAGAAGAGGGGGGAAGAAAGAGGCCCAGCTGTCTAGAGAAGAGGAGCAGTTAGTGATATTCCATCTACTCAATCTTGACTCAGAGACCTAGAACAGGGTAGAACTGTCCTACAGTGTTTCCAAGACTCTCATCTGTACAGAAGCAGACTGATTCATCTATTTCTTGCGGAGCAGTTGGCGAGTTGAAATCACTGACCTTTTGGTTAGTAGCTGAGTGCATAACTACTTCATTACCAGTGCTCCCCAAAGAGATATTGCCAGGTGCCGTCAAATCGGTTCTGACTCATAGCGACCCTGAGTAGGGTGTCTGAGGAGCAGCTGGTAGGTTTGAACTACTGATCTTGTGATAAGTATCATGCTAATTTGCTATTCTTATTCCTGTCACTCCATTATTTTATGTGCTCACTATGTATTAGGCATTAGGCTAAGGGCTTTCCTTAAAAATCCTCTTTATTCCCCCAACAACTCTTTGAAGATGAAACCAAGTGGGCCCTCACCCTCACATGACATCAGGTGAGGTGGCTGAAACACAAAGACCAGATGTTCCTGTGGAATAAAAGGGAGCTGGGGCTAGGACATATGGCCTGCCACGTTGACTTTGAGAATCTTTTCCCAATAGTCCTCAAATGAATTTCAAAGAGTTCATGAAAAAAATGGAGTTAAAAGATAAGCTAGGACTTACCATAACATTCCTGACCACTGAGGAACACAGGTCCAGAGCCAGCCCGGAGCTTAAAAGTGACTGGTGGGGAAAACTCCAATCCCACTAGGGAGACCTGCAGCAGGGAGAAGATAGGGCCGTTCAGGTCTAGCTCCTGGCTGGAGGCTGGCCTCTGGAAGAAGCACTTAGAGTTTCTGCCCACCACACACTTCAGGTCCTCTGGACCTCCCTGCCTTCTCAGCCAGCCTGTGCCCTCCTGCTGAGGTCGGTTCTGTGGAAGAAGAATGTGATCCTAACAGTGTTAGAAGGGTTTCAGAGCTGAGGAGCATTTGTGAAGTAGATGAGTCAGAGCCAATAAGAACTGCAGATACAAAGTTTTATGTACAGTATTATCTATGTTTTTTTAAAATGTGCAAGAGTTGGATGAATACAAGTTAGAAATGATAAAGTCTTAATCATAATTGTCAGTGGGCAGGATTTATTTTCTTTATACTTTTCCAAACCTTCCAAAATTTCTAGAAGAACGAGCTTCTGCCACCTGCTAGGTACCATGCTAAGTATTGTACCTGCTTTGTCTCATTTCACTCCTCAGAGTGAGCCCACACAGCTGACACTAGTACTTTACAGAGGAGGAAGCTGGGATGGAGAGAAATTAACTTAGTGCTTCTGATTCAGACAAGATAAAACTCTGCAGTCATGACCACCTAGCAATGCTGGATAAAATCTTACTGCAAAGCTCAATTAGTAAGAAAGAGGAAATCTTTGTGCACTGGAAATGAGGAGTAACCTGGGTAAGAGCCAATGCTGGACTAGTTCTGAAGGGAAAGCAGGCCTGGACACAGCAAGGGCTCTGGGCTTTCATGCTCACACACAGACAGGGACAAGGTCCAGGCTTAAGAGAGCAGAGTGGTACAGAGACAGGACCCTCAGAGGTCCCAGAACAAAAGCTGAGGAGCAAGAACTAAAAGAAAAGCCCGCCAAAATCCCAAACCAACCAACCAATACTGTCGTTGTTGGGTGCCATCAAGTCAATCTTTGATACACAGGGACCCTAAATGACAGAGTAGAGCTGCCCCATAGGGTTTTCTAGGCTGTAATCTTTATGGAAGGAAATAGACAGGTCTTTCTCCAGTGGGGCCTCTGGGTGGGTTGGAACTGCCAATCATTTGGTTAGCAGCCAAGCACTTAACCATTATTCCACCAGGTCTCAAAGAAAGATTACAAGGAAACTTGAGTGGGAATAAAATAATTCACCTTTAAGAGTCTAAAACCCCATGCCAGTACTTCTTACTCATATGAAGCCTGAATTTACCTAATGGGTATGGCCCCACCAAGAATCTTGTGTAAAATGAATTCCAGACTTGTTATATTACTCTGTGGGGACACTCCCCACACCTCAGTCACACAGAATTCTTTCAGGGAAATAAAACAAAAAAGACTGAAGATGAGCTCACCATCTAAAATTACAAAGTACTCAAGAAATAATCCTGCTAGAGTCAGCAGGAAAAACCAACATGTTAGTTAGCAGCTACCACCACCAAGAACGCTAGATAAAAGAATAACAACCTAAAAACTAGTTTGATAATATACATATATATATGTATATACATATAAGGAGCTCTGGTAATGCAGTGGTTACAAATCAGGCTGTGAACCTTAAGGTCAGGAGTTCGAAACTACCATGGGAGAAAGATGAGGCTTTCTGTTCCCATAAAGATTCACAGTCTCAGAAACCCTGTACAGGGTCACTATGAGTCGGAACCGACTCCACAGCACATAACCTCTATGTATGTATGTATATATATGAATTAGAACTATAATAAAACATTGAAAAAATTAGACTTTTGAAAGAACCAAATATAATTTCTAAAAATGAAAAAAAAATAGTAAGTGTTGAAATAAACTGAGCAAGTGATTGAAAAGCAGAATAAACCAGTTGAAGCAAGAATTAGTGAACTGGAACAGCGATATGAAGAGATAGAACATGTACATAGAAAGATTGAAAATATGAAAGAGCTTGATACATGGAAGACAGTATAATAAGGTCTAAACGTGAATCAACTGAGACTAGAGGAGAGTCAACAGTCAAAGTGACAACAACTAAGAATTTTCCAGAAATGATCAAAGACATCAAGCTTCATATCCAGGCAACTCTAAGTCTTGAACAGATAAATAATTAGTTTTAAAAATCCAAACTAGATAATTGGCTAAGGAAAAGTAGCCTTCTTTTACTCCCTGGCTGCCTGATCGTCTGCAGTCATTATGAGACACATTAACCATCCAGACCAGGAAGCTCATGACCAGCTGACTGCTTCCATGGAAACAAATGCTCATTGATGTCCTTTACCCTGGGAAGGCAACAGTACCTAAGATAGAAAATCAGGAAAAGCTTGCCAAAATGCATACGATGTTATTTTTGTGTTTAGATTCAGAACTCATTTTGTTGGTGGCAAGACCACTGGCTTCCCCACGAGTTACAATTTCTTGGATTATGAAAGAAGAAAAAAAGTGAACCCAAGCACAGGCTTGCAAGACATGGCCTGTATGAGAAGGAAAAAAAAAAAAAAAATCTAAAGGTAATAGCACAGAGAATACAAAAAACAGAATGAAGAAAGTCAGGGGCACTTCAAGGGCTGATGTTGGGTCTGACAAAAAGTGAGCTGGGGAGTGAATAACAGAAGGAAGAAAGATTCTGCTCTGACTTGGTCTGTAATGATTGTGCAGAGTTTTCCCCAAAGAACAAACACTAAAATCTTTTTAAAAATCCAAACTTAACTATACCATTGTAAGACAGTAGATAACAAAAATAGAATATCGTAAAATAAACCTGAGAGGAAGATAGATTTCCAAAAAAAAAAAAGGATCAATAATCAGACAGATAAAAAGGATTTCAACAGTAATTATTAGAAAGCAGAATAATAGAATAACACCTTCAAAGTTTGAAGAAACCTTTGCCTACCATGAAAGGATAAGGTAAAATAACAGGAGTCTTGGTGGCTACTGGATTGCTAACCACAAGGTTGGCAGTTCACATCTACCAGCCATTTCTCAAAAACCCTATATAGAGTTAATATGCGTTGGAATTGACTCAACGACACTTAATAACAACACAGGCAACACTAGAGTGAGTTTAACATTCTCAGACCAACTAAAGGGTATTGCAAAAGGATAGAGCTCATATCAAGAAGAAGTCGTAGTGGATTGTAAGCAGCAATGGTAAAAAAAACTTGGTAAGCAAAGAAACGCTCACTTATTTCAACAGTAAATGAGCAAGTATAAAATAGTACTAGTAATGATTAGTCTTGGGATTTACAAGCTGGAACTAAAACACTAGATGGTAACAACATATAAGTTAAGAAGAAGATGATTTGAAAATTTATTTGGATTGTTTGGGAGGAATAAATATTAAGACTTGTTGAGTAGTATACAATTGTTAAATATTTAAGGATAACCAGTCAAAATTATAATTAGAATCTATAGCTTCTAAGCCAGCAGAAAACAGGAAAAAGAAACTTCAATCCATTTAATAAAAGACAGGAAAAAGAAAAAAGTAAATAAGTAGAAAGCAATATGGTAGAAGTAAATCCAAGTATATCAGCAATAAATAAATATAGCCAAACTAAACTGTTAAAATTTTGTAACTACATATACACACACCTAAAACATAGAATGGTGAAAGACAGGCAAACATGTATAGCAGGACTGACAAAAGCTTTCAGTTGCTTATCTACCATCCATTCTTCCTTTCTTCTGTAATAAGATCCTGAGTCTGGGTGGACTCAAATGTCCAATCTTTTGGTTAGCAGCTGAGTACATTAACCATTTGCATATCTCCATAGATTTTCAATGATTGATTTTCCAGAAGTAGATTCCCGGGTCTTTCTTCCAAGGAGCCTCTGATGGACTCAAACATCCAACCTTTTGATTAATAGTTTGTACCACCCAGTGACTCCATAACAACAATACCCTGATGGAATTCAAATATTAGGCCTAGTCAAAAGACTGCATGCATGTCTCCTTTGCAGTGAACTGTGACAATATGACAAAGTTTTGGACAAATGAATTGTAAGTAGAATTTGGTGGATGGGACTTGTTGAAAGACACTTTTAAAGATGGAAAGAGAACTTAGAAAGTGCCTTTATAAAGCTTCTTCTTTCCAATTGCCTTAAATGCAGAAGTAAAGGCTAGAGATGCCCAGTATTCCTGGACTGGAAGGTCATCTTGAGAATGGATGGCCTAAACTAAGGATAGCAGAGGAGAAAGAGAGGAGGACACTTGGTCTTTAGTGACCACAGAGCAGCTCACCAGCCCTGGATTGTCACTCTGGAATTCTATGCAACTCAGAATAAGTCTCTAATTTGTTGTCGGGTGCTGTTGAGTTGGTTTGGACTCATAATAGAGAGCCTATGCACAACCGAATGAAAACACTGTTGGGTTGTGGCTGGTCCTCACAATTGTTACGTTTGAACCCACTGCCACTGTGTCAGTCCATCTCATTGGGGGTCTTCTTTTTCATTGACCCTCCACTTTTCTAAGCATGATGTCTTTTTACAGGGACTGATCCCTCCTGACATTAAAATGTTTAAACATTAAAACTAAGAAGAAACTGACAAGAAATAGCATAAAATTTAGAATACATAAATAACTTACAGTACAAAACAAGCCATAAACAGACATTTTATGAAGAGGCCATACAGATAGCAAATAAACACCTAAAAAGATGTCCAACATCATTAGCCATTAAGGAAATGCAAATTAACACCACAATTGTTGTTTTGTGCCAACAAGTCGGTTCTGACTCATAGACTCATAGTGACCTTGTATAGGGTTTTTGAGGAGAGGCTGGTGAACTTGAACCGCCAACCTTATGGTTCATTCAAACTGACTTTGCAGTCCAGCGCATTAACCCACAGCACCATATCAGGACTCCACACCACAATTAGATCTCACTATAAATATATCAAATGACTAAAAAGAAACAGTAACAACATGAGATGCTGTTAAGGATGCAGATAAACTGGATCACTTATGCATTGCTGGTAGAAATGTAAAATGGTACAGCTACTCTGGAAAACAGGTTAGCAGTTTCTTATAAAAATCTGCAACTACCATGTGACCCAGTAATTGTATGCTGGGCATTTTTCCCAGAGAATTGAAAACTTTGTCTATACAAAAACCTGTATACAAATGTTAATGACATCTTTATTTGTAATAGCCAAAATGGGAAATCAGTCCATATGTCCTTCAACAGATATTAAACTGTGGTATATCCATACAATGGAATACTACTCAGCAATAAAGAGGAACCAATTATCAATATATATAAGTCGGATGAATCTCCAGGGAATTATGCTGAGCAAAATAAGTAACCCCATTTATGTAACCTTTAAATAAATATGTAATGTTTTGCAAATGACAAAACTGTAGAAATGGAAGACAGATTTGTGGTTGCTAAGGGTTACAGATGTGGCAGGGAGTGGGAGGAAGTGAAGTGTAAAAGGACCTGAGGGATCCCTGTGATGTTGAAGTATTCATTATCTTGACTGTGGTGGTGGATATATGAACTTAAACAGCACAGAACTTAATACACACATACAAATAAATACAAGGAAAACTGGAGAAATCTGAATTAAATTGATGGAGTCTATCAATGTCAATATGCTGACTAGAATAAAACATAACTGAGCAAAATGCTCCAACGGGGCAAAACATGCAAAGAACTTCTATGTATTATTTCATACAACTTCATGTGACTCTACAATTATTTTTCAAAATAAAAGTAAAATTAGAAATACTAATAAAATTGGAGAACACTGAAACTCTATATAATACAATTTTTTTTAATATATAATTTTTAGAACAGTTTTGTTTATAGAAAATCTGCAAAAAGTAGAAGGTTCCTATATATCTCTTATCCCCTGTGCATAATTTCTCCTATTATTAACATCTTGCATTAGTGTAGTACATTTGTAAAAAGTGATGAACCAATATGAATGTCTTGTCATTAACTGAAGTTTAAAGATGACATTAAGGTTCACTCTATGTTATGCAATTGTATAGATTTTGACAAATGTGTAATGTCATGTATCTACCATTATATTACATACGGGTTCATTTCACTGCCCTAAAAGTGCCTGACGTTGCACTCACCCATCTGTCCCTTTGCTCTGAGTCTCTGACAATCACTGATCTTTTTATGGTCTCTATAGAATTGGACTGCGAACCGCAAGGTCAGCAGTTCAAAATAACCAGCTGTTCTGCAGGAGAAAGATGAGGTGTTCTGCTCCTGTAAAGATTTACAGCCTCAGAAACCCTGTACAGAGTCGGAACCGACTCCACAGCACATAACCACCAACCACCACCATAGGCCAGTATTCCTCAGGAACATGTATACAAATATTTTCAACAAAATACTAACCAATAGTATTCAACAACAAATGGGATAAAATAATACATCATGAACAAGTGGGATTCACATGTAAGGATAGTACATTAGAAAAATATTCAGTGTAATCTACCATATAAATAAAATAAAGGAAAAGAATCATACGATTATTATTGATTAATGCAGAAAAGGCATTTGATAAAATCCAATACCCATTCCTGATAAAAAACACCCAAAATAGGAATAGAAGGCTAAGTCTTCAACATAATTAATACCATATATACAGGAGTTCTGGTGTGGCATTGCAGGTTAATGAGCTGGACTGCAAGGTCGGTTTGAACCACAAGGCCAGTGGTTCAAGCTTACCAACTGCTTCTTGGAAACCCTACACAGGGTTGCTATGGGTCAGAACCAACTCGACAGCACTTAACAACAACAATAATACAACACCAACAGCTAATATTGCTGTCAGAGAGCAACAAAGCATTTCCCTTGTGAATGGGAATCAGACAAGGAGGCCCTTTATCAGTACTGCTATTCAATATTGTACTTGAAGAGTTAGAACTAAAAGGGAGAAATAAATTTAAAATCATTCAAATTGGCAAAGAAGAAGCAAAACTTTCTCTATTTGCAAATGATATGAGCCTATATATAAGAAATCTCAAAGACTCAGAGAGAAAGATATTGGAACTAGTTGAAAAAGTAAGCAAAGTGGCAGGGTACAAGATATAAAAATTAGTCAGATTCTTTATACTAACAAAGAGTCCTGAAAAGAAAATCAGCAAATCAATACCATTTACAATAGCCACCCCAAAGATGAAATACAGCGACACAAAAGACCTAGACCTATACTAAGAAAGGAGTCCTGGTGTGGTATTGTGGGTTAATGCTCTGGACTATAAGGTCAGTTTGAACTGTAAGACTGGTGTTTTAAGATCACCAGCTGCACCTATGAGTCAGAATGAACTCGATGACACTTAACAACATACTAAGAAAATGATAAAATACTACATTAAACAAAAAGAGATCTACATAGTTGAAATATACGATGCTCATGGCTAGAAAGACTTAAAATTGTGAACATATTAATACTGCCCAAGTACGATATACAGATCTAATGCAATCCCAATCCAAATTCCAGCATTATTCTTTAGAGATGGAAAAACTGATCAACTTTATAAGGAAATGAAGGAAAACCCAGATAAAGCACTATGAAAAAGAACAAAGTAGAAGGACTCTCACTTTCTGATCACAAATCCCACTACACAGCCATGGTAGTCAAAACAGCCTGGTACTGGTACAAAGACAAACAGATCAATGAACAGAAGTGAGAATCCAGAAGCTGAGGGGTTTTTTTTTGCTCTCAAAATGTTTTATCCAATCCTGACACATGTAGAAAATAAGTGAGAAATATTCCAATGAATGAAACATACCAAATGTCAGTAATAAGCAAGACACATTCCTTTGGGGAAATGGCTGTTAAAAAAAAAAAAAAAAAAATCCAGTCTGTATAAGCAAGGAAATTCAGTCTTTTCTTTTTTTTTTTTTCTTCTTTAAAAATCCGTTTTTCCTAAAATATCATTCCACAGAATTGGAAGTGAAGGATCAGGAGAAGAAAGGAGGGTGGGGTGCACACACCAGTAACACAAAAAGGAATAAAAGTGTACAAATGTTAAGCAGTTTATAACAGATCAGGTTCACACTCCAAGATACCAAAAGTGGTTGAAGAAATTCCCTCTTCTGCAGGAACTAGGGTTTCTACTGCTGTGTGATGACCAGTGAAGAGGGATTCACTGCCTTGGAGCAACGCTTCTTCCCATTCCAAATCCTGGTTTCTGCACCTTGCCTCCATGAGGAGGGCCTTTCAATCCACCACCCAGCCTGCCTGGAGGGCCTCCAGGTACCTGCAGGCGGTTATCTCTTCCACATTCAGACAGACTTCACCTCTGAACATGATAGGCCTGTTACTAAGAACTTTCTGAACAGGTTCAGAGTCATCAAACACAACAAACCCAAAATTGGGTAGTTTCCCACCACTGTTAATGTGCAGCTCTACCACATTCCTATAGTTTTGGAAGAAGTCTTTAAGCTCTGATTTATCCACTTCATGAGGCAGGTTGCCAATGAAGAGTTGGTGACTGTCAGGGTGTCTTACAATTCTTCGAGGTTCAACATCACCTTGCTTACCAGCTTCATGAATTGGTCTAGGGCCCCTCTGTGGAGGAATATTGATTCGTTGTCCTCGCACTCTTTGATCCCTCTGAGGTCTCTGCGGTGGAATCTGAGATTCAGGCTTAGACTCTGGATGGGGCTGTGAAGTTGAAACTTTAACAACATGAGGTGGGATCCCAGTAACTGGAACAGCTCCACTGGGAGGAAGATTCTTACTAGTCACAGATGTCCAAGAAAATGTCCTCAAGTCTTCCTGTGCTGTCTGAGGTATGTCTGCAGGTGCTGGGGAAGCCCTCTGCTGAGTCTCCTCAGGAGCACTATCTTCTAATACCGGCTCTGACTACTCTTCTTGGATTTCAGATACAGGTTCTTGGTTCTGGTTCTGGATCAGGCTCTGGTTCCACAACAGGTTCCTCTAAATGTTCTTCTAAGTCAGTGCTGACAGTCTGATTATAGAAAGTTCCAGCATCATCGGGTACCACCTCTGGTATCTGCTGTCTTTCTTCAGTCTCCTCTACTTCTTCCTCAGATTCCTCCTGAGGCTCAGTGACAAAGCCACCAAAGGCTTCATCTTGGTAACTGAAGATATCATTATGAACATAGAACTTATTTGCAACAGAGCCCTCAGGAGCAAGGACAAGTGTCTGCATAAATCTTCGCAAGGCTTGGTTGTTATTAGAGAGCAACCCCATCACCTGGACCACCACACCATTGTTTAGAGTAGCATGAGCATCAACATGGATAATCTCAGTGTGGCAATTGGTAAAGTTTTGTGACATCACTTTCCTATGGATTTCTTTTTGTCCATAGACTGCATCTGCTGGTTTTCCATTTGAATCCAATCCTCCATGGACATAAGAGTTCTTACCATAAAATCTACGTAGCATGTCTGGGGCCTGATTCAGCAGTATATAGTACTGTCTCACAAATTCCTGCCCGACCAGCAGGGGACTCGGCTTCTCCATAACTATTGCTTTGGTCAATTCAACCTGCACTGCTGAGCGCGAGAGGGAAAGGTTTTGCTCCACAACAGGGCAGATGGCAGAGAACTCCAAAGCAACTGCGTCCGCACCCAGACAGCTGAGTTTTGACAACGGGCCCAAACTCACTAGATAGGAAAGAGATAGTCTTCATAACATAGTGATGGCAAAACTGGATATCTAGTTGCACAAGAATCAACAGGATCCTTATCTCTCACCATATACAAATACCAACTCAACATCAAAGACCTAAATGCGAAACCTAGAGTTATAAAGATCAATGAAAAACAGGGACAATATACATAGTATAAATATATTATTGAGCATTACTGAAAACACACAAACAGAAGAAAGACAAACTATGAGGGTAGAGAAAAAATCATTCAGATGCTTATTCCAGTTATATTAAAATACATATCCATGGCTGATGACCACATTGAGCATGAATGTGAAATGATTCTGTTGAATAGACGAGTGGCAGTGGATTATGTGGGAAATCATTTGCAAATCAGCCATGGCTCTGCCTATGAAATAATCCATGACAGACTTGGATTTTGAAAATTTGTGCCAGATGGGTATAACAGAACTCATGGAACAGCATAAACAGAAGCATTTGGACATCTGAAAACCAATTTTGGACCAATACTCAAAGGAACATTAAAGTTTCTTTTAAAAAATTGTTACTGGTGACGAGACATGGATTCATTACTAGAGCCCAAGAGTAAATAGCAGAGTATGAAATGGAAACATCCTCAATTGCTGACCAAGAAAAAGTTCAAAAGTCAATTGATACTTACTGTTTTTTTGGTCTCCTCAAAGGCCAGTACTGGAACATTATGTTCAACAATCAGCAGTGCTCATTACAGTGAGATGCTCGCTGAAGTTCTGAAGCCTAAACTTTGGATTAAACACAGAGGACTGCTATCCAATGGCGTTGTGATCTTGCATGACTATGCATGTCCACACACCTCTGCCCACACTGTTGACACTCCGCAAAAACTTCATTTTGAAGTGTTAAAGCTTCTTCCTATCATCCTGATCTTCATCAGACTTTCACCTGTTGGGTCCCCTGAAAGCAGCCCTTCAAGGATGAAGATTCATTTTTGATGAAGAAGTGAAGATAGTAGTGCATTTGTGGCTTGCAGCCTAAAACATTTTTTAATAGGGGAATACAAAAACTTGTTGACAGATGGACAAAGTGCGTTGTTGAAAATCAAGGAGATTATGTAAAAAAAAATGATGTATTGGTTTTTTCTAACAGTTGAGTAAAATAAATTCTATAGTCAGTGTACGTATAATTTTTGACTCACCCTTGTAGATGGTTGGGACCTTCTAAAAATTAGACAATTGTGTGTATCAAGAGATTTTCACCAAAGGAAAGCAAAAAGAAAACTCTGGGAAAATTTTTTTACAATGATACATCTGACAAAGGACCAATCTCTAAAACATACAGAAAACAACACCTCAATAAAGAAAAAACAATCTAACTTTAAAATATGCAGAAGACATAAACAGACACATCACCAAAGAAGACATTCTGGTGGCCAACATATGAAGAAATGCTCGTTATTAGCCACTGTTGCTGTTGTCATTAAGCACTGTTGAGTCAGTTCTGACTCACAGCGATCTTCCTCCAATCCTGATGCCAGGTTTTTCTTCATAGAACCCAGCTTTTCAGATGATTTGCTCAGCATACAGGTTGAATAAGTATGGTGAAAGAATACAACCCTGTCATACACCTTTCTTACAAGGAACTAGGAATTGATGGGATAAAAATTGAAATCTTTCAAGAAAGTTATGGAGGACAGGAGGTACTCACTCATCTATGCCAAGAAGTTTGGAAGACAAATATCTGGCTGACTAATTGGAAGAGATCTGTATTTGTGCCCATTCCAAAAAGAGGTGACCCAACGGAATGCAGAAATCATTGGACAATCTCTTTGATATCCCATGTGAGTAAAGTTTTACTAAAGGTAATACAGAAATGGCTGCCAGCATACATTGACAGAGAACCTCCAAAGGTTCAAGCCAGATTCAGAAGAGGCCGTGGAACGAGGGATATCATTGCTGATGTCCGATGGCTGATAGCAGAGAATATCAGAAAGATGTTTACCTCTGCTTTATTGACTATGCAAAGGCTTTTGATTGTGTGGATCATGATGAGCTATGGACAACATTGCGAAGTATGAGTATTCCGGAACACTGAATTCTGCTCATGAGGAATCTGTACATGGACAAAGAGGCAGTTGTTGGAACAGAACATGGGAACATTGGATGGTTTAAAATTAAGAAAGGTGTACAACAGTGTTGTATTCTTTCAGCATACAAATATATATATAGGTTTTAAAAATAAAATTAAAAACCATTTCTTTAAAAAAAAAATGGTGCCAGAGCAATGAGTACAAATTTGGGAAAGAAATGTATCTCCAATCTTACAACTCAGATCATACTTAAAAATTAACTGGATAAAATTGAAATGAATCATAGGCATTGATATAAGAAGAGCTCTTAAAAAAAAACAAAAAACTACTGAAAAAATGAAATGGGCAAGCCACATACTTGGGAGAAAATATTTGAAATACATAGTTTTGATAAAGAACTTGCATCTAAAATATAATTTCTGAAACGTATTAAAAGTTTCTTGGGTAGTGGAAATGGTTTGTGCTCAGTTGCTATCTGAAAGGTTAAAGGTTGAAGGTTGGAACCTATCTATCCAGTAGTACCAAGGAAGAAAAGTCCTGGTGATATATTCTGTTAAGATTACCCAAGAAAATCCTGCGGAGTAGTTCTGCTCTTTAACACATCAGATCATTATGAATCAATGAACTGACTCCATGGCAACTAACAACAACTCAGTAAGATTAATTCAATTTTAAGGTGAGCAAAATATCTAAATAGGCATTTTGCAAAAGAAGATATAATAATGACTAGCAAACATATTAAAAGATGCTTAACATCCTAAGGAAATATGAATAAAAACCATGTGAGATATGGTATACATTATGTATACATCCACCTAACTGGCTCAGATTAAGAAGACTAACAATATCAAGTATTGGAACAACCTGGAATTCTCATACATTGCTGATAGTAAAATGGTACATCAATTTGGAACATAGTTTGGCAGCTTTGTGTAACATCTGCTTACCATAGAATCCAGCAATTCCATTCCTAGGCATTTACCCAAGAGAAATTAAGACATGTTCATACTAAGGCTTGCATGCAAATGTTTATACCAGCTTCATTCATAATCTTCTGAAACTGGAAACAACCCAAATGTCCATTAACAGGTAAATGAACAAATTATACGCATCCGTCTGTAGAATGGAGTATTTCCCAACCATTAGCTGGTACATTACTCACAAATATGGATGAATCTCATAAGCATTATGCTAAGCGAAAGAAGTTGGGTTGAGAGACAAATATTGTATTTCATTTATATGAAATTCCAGAAAAGTATAATAATAGAAAGTACATCAGTGATAGCTAGAGAAAGTGGTTGGTTGTTGTTAAATGACATCAAGTTGGTACCGACTCATAGCAACCCTGTATAGGGTTTCTGAGGAATGGCTGATGAGCTTGAACTGCCAATCCTGAAGTTCAAAATGACCTTGCAGTCCAGTGCATTAACCCACAGATCCATACCAGGACTACTACAAGAGGAGTAGAGAAAATTTTTGGAGTGATGAAATTTTTCTCTACCTTGATTGTGGTGGAGGTTACACAATTTAAATACATTTATCAAAACTCATCAAATTGTAAACCCAACAATGGCAAATTGTATAGAAATTATGCAGCAAACAGAACAAAGTCTCTGCTCTCTTGGAGCTTATATATGTTGGTTGAGGGGGAATGATACTATACAGATTTTAAAAATGATGTTGGTGATGAGATTATGGGTGGGACAGAAAGAAGGGATGTTGTGTATAGTCTGTGAAGGCCTCTGTTGAGATGACATTTGACCAAAGACTGAAGTGAGGGAGGAAATCACAGGAATATGCAAGAGAAATATTTCCAGCGTGGAAAGTCCCTGAGGAGCGATTGTGTTTGGAGTTTTCAAGGTACAGTCAAGGAAGACACTGTGGTTAGAGCAGGCTGAGAAGAGAGAGTTGCCAAGGTTGAAGCCAGAGGCTTGCTGAGGCCATGGTAAGGATTTTGGGTCTTATTTTGAGTGAAAAAGGAAGCCATTGACCCAAGTATTCTAGCAAGAGGGGAAGGTCACCTGGTATATCAGGGAAGATGGTGAGACGTGGTCAGAGTCAGGGTATAGTCTGAAAGTAGAACAAACAAGATTTGCTGGTGGATCAGCTCTGTCCTGACTCATTAGAACAAAACTGCTATTTGCTGGGAGAGGATCAGATTTTAGGGAAAATTTGTATTTAAAACTAAAAAATTTGGATTTAGACATATATGGTATGGTAGTTTAATTATCTGTAGATACATGTAGAGCATGTGTATGTTGTTGTTGGTAAGTGCCGTCAAGTTGGCTCTGACCTATAGCAACCCTGTATAGGGTCTCTGAGGAGCAACTGGTGAGCTTGAACCGCCAACTTTGCAGTTCAAACTGACTTTGCAGTCCAGTGCATTTATCCACAGAGCCACACCAGGACCCTGGGCATGTGTATAGGTAATTCTATATCTCCCATTCCAGAGGATGGAAATAGAGAATAAGAATCTTTCATCCCTCATTTCATGAGGCTAGTGTATCTTGACATCCAAGTAAGATAAATGAGATTGGCCTGTAATTTCCTTTATGATCAAATAGTGTTTACTCTAGGAATGAAAAGCTAGTTGATTATTCTGTTATTGTAATTTAGCAATTAACAGATTAAAGAAGAATGTGAGAAATAAGTCTCAAGCTGATCTATCTTCAGGAATAAGGAAACAAAGGATCCAGGAAGCTGCTAATTGACCAAGGCACAGATTATTGGCTGATAGAGCAACAGGAGCCCATGCACCTGGGGTATTTGTAAACAGGATAAATTAGGGAAGGGGGAACCTGCTGGAGAATGCAACCTGTTTAAAAATGCAACCATCAAACGGAAATAGGTGACATCCGGGAAGATTGTTCACCTTGTAGTACTCAGTCAATGAGGAATCAGGCCAGGGTGGGGCTGAGGGGTGGGAGAGGGACTTACAAGTTAGGAAATAAAAACACTTGTAAAAAACGACCACACAGCACATATACCCTTCTTGTCTTCTTGGTTTGGCACCCGATTTTGCAAAATCGGCTAATAAAGACTCACTCTCACTAAAATGAGTACAAATTGTATTTCTTGAGCATTCAAGTAACGACCCATGATAGCTCATTGGTGATCTCAATGGGATCCTAGTTGTCCCTCTGGAGACCAATCGGGGCTAACCTGCCAGTTACCAAAAGGAACCAAGGTAGTACCCGGGGTATTGACATTTTCACAATAATAATCCATGATCACAATAAAAAAGCATTTGATAAAATTACACCTCCATTCATTATTAAAATCACCTAATACAAGCTAGAAAAGGACTTCCCTTGGCCTGGCAACAGGCTTCCAACAGTTCATTCTGGCTGAATCTTCTGCTGAGAATTTGCATTTCCATCCCAGCTAAATTGCATCAGTGTCTTCATTTAGCCAGAACCCCAGGTGATTATTAGGTATACATGAAGAATATATATACCTGAGGATTTGCAAGAATCACCTGGGGATCTTGTTAAAATGTAGATTTGATTCAGTATATCTGGAGTGGAAACAAAGGTTCTCATCAGGGAGTCCAGCTGGAATGCCCCCCATTGGAAGCCCTATCTGATAAAGGGTATCTATCTCACTTACTTTGGTGACATAATCAGGAGGGAACAGTCCCTGGAGAAGGACATCATGCTTGGTAGAGAGTCAGCAAAGAGAAGGAAGACCCTCAACAAGATAGACTAACTAACACAGTGGCTACAACAATGGGCTCAATATACAATGATTGTGTGGATGGTGCAGGATTGGGCAGCTTTTGGTCTCTAGTACACAAGGTAGCTATAACTTGGAATTAACTCAACAGCACCTAATACCACCACCACCAAAACCATCAATGGAAAAATAGTGGATGCGCTCTTTAAGAATGAACAGTGATTTGAAGAAACATTGATATTTCTATCCAACATTATACTGGAAGTCCTAGCTAGCACAGTACCAAAACACAAACCCACTGCCATAGAGTCGATTGTGAGTCATAGCAACCCCATCTAGGGCTTCGGAGACTCTAAATCTTTACAGGAGCAGAGAGCCTTGTCTTTCTCCTATGGAGTGGCTGGTGGGTTTAAATCCCCCAACCCTGTGGTTAACAGCCCAATGTAGGATTTAAAATAAAAATTTAAAAAGGCATGAAACTACCATTATTCACTATGATTATTCTAAAAAACCCAAGATAAGTTATTACAATCATACAATCAGTAAGCAAAATATGGACAGTGTTTCTGTCACCAGCAATAAGCAATTTTAAAATGTAATTTTTCAAGTTAGATTACTTAACTTACCCAAGGCTACAAAGCTCTTAAAGGGCAAAGCTGGAATGGAAGCTCAGGGTTGTCCCCAATTCTTGGTCATAGGCTACATTGCCTCTCTGTATGCATGTGCTTCTGTAGCATGGAGATTTCCCTCATTTGTGTTCATCCCACCCAGAGGGTGAGGCCCAAGCAGGGGGCCTCCTGACTGGGCAGCCATTTTCCTCAGTTGGCTGGAAAAGGCTTACCATGGGTAGGATGGAGGCCTGAAGAGAGGCAATAGTAATCGGCTGTGTCTTCTTGTTCGCCTGGTTGGCTGAGGGCAGGATTTCCACGAGATTCATCTCCTCATTGGCGTTCTCCCCTAAACAAATCTGAGAAGAGTTGAAAACAGAGGTATAGCATCATGCTAAAGGTAAGTGGGAAATCCCTGTTCTTGTTTGTTGAGACTCCCACCTCCTCTTCTGAAGAAGGATCAAATTTCTCCCATCTCCACCTTTCTCACCTTGGAAGACACTCACCGTACTAAGCAACACCTTACAGTCCTGTTTCCCTGCCATCTGGGGCTTGAAGGCCCAAGTTCGCTTCTCCTGATTTAGCTCACAGCCTGAGAAGGAAGGGAAAGAGAGAAGTGGGGCAGGGAAGCTCAAGAGAGGCATATCCTTTTTCCCTTCCAGTCCGCTCTCATTTACACACCCACAAGCACAGGTTTCTGCTCCAGACAGAAGGTGGCACATGGCCTGGGCTGCTGAGATTGAGCCTCTGTCTGAACTCACCCCAGAGCATGGTTGTCACTGTCTTTTCAGCTCTGCTGCTGGTGCTGCTTCGACTCATGGTGCTGGGCGGAGGAGCTGGGGGTGGGAGAAAAGTTGTGAAGGGGAGCCTGCAGTAAGGAGGCCTGCTCTGCCTCCTCAGAGCTCAGACAGCTTTGAGAGACTGTGAGGTGATGTGGCCTTGGCTCTGTCCTGAGTGACTGCCTGACTTTCAACTGATTCCTAATTTCCTGGAAGACAGGTACTAATGGACTGTGCTTGTCAAAGCCACCCAGACCTGAGCTGAGGATACACAAAGTTAAAGTACACATTGAAAGAAGGATGAGTCCGATTAACCCCCAGCTTGATTTCCTAGCTCCCCTTGTGGAGAAGCTTTCTCCCAAAATTCCTGAGGCGAGGCAAGCCCTAGAGAGGGTATGACCTCTTCACAAGGTCTCTGCCTAACTTGGTCCAAGTTACACTCATACCCTGGGTCCTGGTCCTTCTCAGTCCCTCCTCAACCTTAGGGTCCCTTTTCTGCATGCTGTCAGTCATGCCATGGGCTCCTTCTTGGAGTTTTCCTCTCTCACATGCGCACTCACTCCAGCCTCATCCCCCCGTACCTGAGGGTAGGTGTTATGAAGCCTGGGAGAACAGGAGGTGGTTAATCAGCCTTAAAGAGAAGGATCTCCACCCCACATTTCCTTCTTCTATTCTTTCCTCCTGTTTGTGCCTCAGAACTACCAGAAGGGCTTGTTAAAACAGATTGCTGGGCCACACCGCAGAGTTTGATTTGGTAAGTCTCAAGGCACACAACAAGAGAATTAGCATTTATAACGAGTGCCCAGGTGAGGCAGTGGCTGCTGCAGCTGATGTTAGGTTTCTCACTGTGAGAACTACTACCATAGCCAATGAAGATTTGGTGTGGTGCCAAAGGATAAACTCTGCACCACAAGGTTGGAGGTTCAAACTTACCAGATGCTGTTTGGAAACCCTATACAGGGTTGAAACAAGTAGGAACTGACTTGATGGCACTTATAAAAAACAACAAGGATTTGCTGTGGAGTCGTGGGATAAGCACTAGACTGCTAACTGAAAGGTTGGCTGTTCAAACCCACGAGCTGGTCCTTGGAAATCCTATACAGGATCTCTGAGTTGCACCTGACTTGACGGCACTTAACAACAACAAATGATTTGCTGTAAGGAACCCTGGTTGTTGTTGTTGTTAAGTGCCATGGAGTTTGTTCTGAATCACAGCAACCCCTTACAGGATTGTCAAAGAGTGGATGGTGAGTTTGAACTGCCGACCTTGTGGATCAAACTGACCTTGCGGTCCAGTGCTTATCCTACAGCCCCACACCAGGACTCCAAGGAGCCCTGGTAGCATAGAGGATTATGAGTTGGACTGCTAACTATGAGGTCAGCAGGTCGAACCTACCAATTGCTCTGCAGGAAAAAGATGAGACTTCCTGCTGCCCAAAAAGATTTACAGCCTTGAAAATCTTATACAGGGTTTCTATGAGTCAGAACCAACTTCTGATGTCACACAACCCCCTGCAACCACCATGATTTGCTGAGGGGTCCTGGTGTGGCACTGTAGGATAAGCACTGGATGTGATGGTTCAAAACCACCAGCCACTCCTTGAAAACCCTATAGAGGGCTGCTAAGTAGGAACAGACTTGAGGGCACTTAACAATGATATGCTGAAAGATGCTCTGGTGGCATTGTAGGATTAGTACTGGACTGCGAACCACCAGGTCGGCAGTTCAAATCCACCAGCTGCTCCTCAGAAACCCTAGACAGAGTCACTTTGAGTGGAACCGACTTGACGACACTTAACAACAAGCTAACTGCAAGGTGGGCAATTGAAATTCACCAGCTGCTCTGTGGGAGAAAGATGAGGCTGTCTCCTCCCAGAAAGGTCTCAGAATAGGATCGCTGAGTCAAAAAGTACTTGAGGACAATAGGCTTGGTGTCAGGTATGATTTGCTAAAGGACCCCAGGTGGTGCAATGGTTAAATGCTTAGCTATTAACTAAAAGGCTGCTGGTTACTCCACGGGAGAAAGATGTGACTGCCTGCTTCTGTAAAGATTTGGAAATCCCATGGGGCACTTCTACGCTGTTCTATGGGATTGCTATGAGTCAGAGACGGCTCCAAAAAACAAGTGTTTTTTTTTTTTTTTTGTCTCTCTATTGTGGAGTGTGGAGTTCTGGTGTGGTGCTGTGGGTTAATGCACTGGACTGCAAAGTTGTTTGAACCACAGTGTCGGTGGTTCAAGCTCACCTGTCGCTCTTTGGAAACCCTATACAGGGTTGCTATGGGTTGGAACCGACTTGATGGCACTTAGCAACAACAACAATATTGCAGAGTGGAGGGGTGGTGTAAACGGCTGCACACTAGACTACTAAGTTAAAAGGTTGGTGGTTTGACCCCACTCCAGGGCTGAGGCATCCAGAGCAGGCAAGCCATTTATAGAATGGCCATTTTCCCATAGAGAAGTGTGGTTGGGAAGGGATGGGAGGTGGGAAAGGGGCTAGAGGAGGGGCTGCAGCTATGGAGACAGTAAGTGACTTTGCATGGACCGATGACTTTAATAAGCAGCAGTTCACAGGGCACAGTGATGCACTTAAATGCTTGGATCAAGGTAATGAAGAGGAGTAGGAGTTTCAGTCAACACACGCCTCTCTGTCCTTTTCATGAAGCACCTGTTTGGGAGTTAGGGGCTTCTTACCCTTTACTCCCATCTGGAAAGCTGCTTACCAGTGTCCTTTGTGGAACCCTAATCAGAACTTCTGCTGCGCAGGAATCAGATTTTTCTTCTTTTTTATTTGTAAAAAGTCAACTTTATTGAGAAGTAATTTCCATACTGTAAAATGTACCCATTTAAAGTCTATAAATTGATGAATTTTAACAAATGTGTATACCCATGGGAGTCCCTGTGTGGGGCAAATGGTTAACGAAAAGGCTGCAAGTTTTCAGTTCATGCAGAAGTGTCTCAGATGAAAGGCCTGGTGATAGGCTTCCAAAAGACCACCCACTGAAATGCTATGGAGCAGAGTTCTACTCTGACACTCAGGGGGCTGCCAGCAGTCAGAATGCACTTGATAGCAACTGGTGGGTCACAGTCAAGAAATAATCTCATCACCCCCAAAAGGTTTTCTTGCTTTTTTTTGCTGTCAATCTCCTCCCCGACCCCTAGCACCAGGCAAATGTTATCTGCTTTCCCACAGGATAGACAAATATTTCCTGCTCTAGACTTCCATATAAATAGAGTCACACAGATTGTACTCCTTTTTGTCTCCCCTCTTTTGCTGTAGAAAATGTTTAAGACTTATCCCAATTGTAGTTTTTTTTTTTTTTTAATTGTTGAGCAGTATTCCACTGTATGGCTGAACTGCAATGTGTTCAGCCAGTTAACTGTTGATGAACAACTTGGGCAGTTTCTAGGGTTAGGCGGTTTTGGATAAAGTGGCTATAAACATTTCAGAACAAGCTTTTGCATGTGCATGTTCTCTTAGGTAAACAGTTGAAAGTGGAATGGCTGGGTCATACAATAGCTGTATGTTGAACTTTATACAAAACTGCCAGTTGTTTTCCAAAGTGGAAAGCACCATTTCACTTTCCCATCAGCAATAGTTGCACATGCTCCATATCCTTGTAGACTCGGCATTGTCATTTAACAATTTTTTTTTTTTCTTGCTTTTCTAGTGGACATCTGATGGCATTTCATTGTGGCTTCTGTTTGTATTTCCTTGATACACACACAACTGGTCAATACTCAAATTTTATATGTGTATTAGCCACTTGTATATCTTCTTTTGTGAATTGTTTTTCAAATCTATTGTCCATTTAAAATGGATTGTTTATTGAGCTGTAGAGGTTCTTTACGTGATGGTAAGTAAAAAAAAAAAATATGGCTATAAAATCATGGGACCCTTTATTAAACAAAAATATCAAAATGTGAAGCTATTGCTTGTCCACACATCCTCCATCTAAGCCTATGCACTTCTGATGGGACCCTTTATTAAACAAAAATATCAAAATGTGAAGCTATTGCTTGTCCACACATCCTCCATCTAAGCCTATGCACTTCTGAAGATGGTGTTTCCTTCTCTCTAGCCCTTTTGCACTCTTCCGTTTACACCATGTAAAAATAGCAGCGTTGACATCCTCAAGGGACACAAATTGTGTTCCTTTTAAACAGGGGTGGGAAATATCCTGCCCGTGGGCTGTATAAGGCCAGCAAAATCATTTGGTCTGGCCCTGCCAAGGCAACCAAAGATGGCACTCAAAATTCAATAAATCTAGGAACTTTTTTTGCAGCAACATAAATTTATATTAAGTGAGTCATAATAATGTAAAATTTGGGGGACAAGCAAGGAATGTCCATTACAGGGTAGACAGGACACATACTATAAGAGACAGACACTTATGTTTCTTGTTGGCTGCCCTCAGCCCATCTGACTGTATTGCGGTGACTCAGAGGACAGTTAGCGCCAGGCATGCTGGGAGTGCACAAGATGCAAAAGTGTTAACACACTGTGGCAAAACTACAGCAATCCTGTGATGATCAGACGAGATGCAATGCAATGATTCCTTGCAATGCGGATTTCCTTGCCTTTGATGATTGAGGACAATGTTGTCGACTTCTTTGTTGACAACGACAATAACTCCAATGCAGTCTTTAGCTACATGTCCAAGATCAACACTTCTTACAAAAACTGAATCTCAGATTAATGGAATTACAGTACACAGAAAAGACCTCAAGTTGATGATACAAACATTGGATGTGCTCCAAATCCAAGATGTAGATTTAGAACAGTGATCAAAGGAAAATAATCTCATTGAGGGCAACACACACGTTGCATATTAAAATGTTTAAATGGTATGACATCCTAAAATGGTGACTACAAAGAAAAGTTGATGCGGAGTTGTCAATCTTTCCAAGAGAGATGGACAAATGATTATTTTTTTGTTGACGTCAAAGGCAAACAAACCAGTGTGACTAGTTTGTGGTGATGCATTAGCTGTAATGAAAAAAGCCAACCTGGAGTGTCATTACAGCTAAACTCAAATGAA